CTCCTATCTTGTATGGATTCTGACAAAAAGAACCTTAATAATAAATGTGAATACATCACGTAAGAAAAAGTCAGTAATTTTTCGATAAAGAAGTTTAAGTTTTTTAAGAATACAACAAAAAAATTACTAACTGAGCTCGGCGAAAGTATCTGTTGGAAGTAGCCCATGTTCGAAATATTATACCTAACGTTGACTCGTTTTTAACTTCCGCGGAATTCTTGGCAGAATGTGGAATCTTCCGGTACTGAGTAACTGGCAATGCAGAACGTTAAACAAGATTTGTTTTTCAATAGAATATACATGAATTCAACCGACGACTGGGTTCCTAGAGGACGAAAAGACACTGGATAAGTTATTAGTCACCTTGATCATAGAATGAACACATGATGCATGACTCAGGCTACACTTGTGTGGATATGATACAGACATCTTGGTCTGCATGGACTTTCAGCATACTCCAAGCCACTGTAGTGTTAAGGGAAAGCCAGATTCACACATTAGGGTCACCACAACTGTCCCTCACCATCATCCTCGAGTTGCCTAGGCTACAAGGCGTCGGTCCAGTCAGGTCAATTTGACAAACTAGAGCCGTGTACAGTGGTTCGGCTCATTGCAGCTTGCGCCAATGATTAATGTAGGGTTGATGGCGACGTTGGGTTGGGAAAACCACTGGCAACCAAATGATAGTGAGTTGGGAACTGAGCTGGGATCTAACCAGCGGACACGTGATTTCTACTGCTTGTACGGGATCGCGATGTCACTGAGTACCTCCAGTCACGGATTCGGTGGATTCCTAATAGTAACCTCTCTGACGACGCAGCTAAGATCCTTTGATAAGGCCTTTATGCCTTGCCTTCAAGTCAGACATCGTCCAACGTGTGGTATGTGCACAATTGCAACAAACAGAGCAGAGCGGGGAAGTAGATTACCGAGAGAACGTAGCTGGTGCAGCTAAATCAGCCTATGAGTTGGACAAGCAGTGGATTCGTTACCAAAAGCCATTCACCGCAGTTCTGTTTTGTTAATCCGATGTACACATGATGTGGGTGCAGTACTTTGAAAGCAGCACAATCAACCTTGTTGGTAGTGCGAGGAGATTTGGCTATGGGGATATGGGGTGAAGTCTCCACCAAAGTACCAAACTTTTCTCATTTTTGACATACTGCGGTCAAGTTTTACAATCTTAAGTCGTCAACAACTAAAGTGCTCTTTCGTTATGAACCCAGTCTTTACTAAGTCGTAAGTCACTATTGAGAAGGCCTAGCAGGAAAAATATAATTTGTGCTCAAGGGCTCTCGAAAAGTTTTCAGTGACAAGATTATTCCTGTTTTCGATCAGAGAGTTTTTGCAACCTCGACATTACACCAGTGATTACACTAGTGATTCGAAATGAACTACAAGTATGGTGAAAACTGCTAGGTAAAGCGAAAATATTACTACTCAATTGTGTAAACACGACTCAGACACGTTAAGTAATTACAGACAAACAGTTAAAAAAAAACAGCGTAACTGTTCCGTCAATTTGTCTGCAAGGCTCTGATCTCACGGGCACATAACTCATGAAGACAGAGATCTCCGGGACAGATGATTAGGCAAAAGAGTTGAACCAGACTCTAGGGAACTTTTTTGGTAACGATGTAGAATTCTGGTTCCAATGGATCAGGGGCATCGATTTCTTCAGCTTCCGTTTTTTGCCGTCATTGGCTGGTGGTTCAACCTTGGAAATCTGCGATCAGGTTAGTTTGCGTACTAGCCAGAAAGAATGATACACCCGCTGTACTCTTTTTTTTCGTTGGGTACCTCCCTCGCGATCACCCACCATTCCTATACCGTTGTTCTACAGATGAAGTGACCAGCGCTTCCCCCTGATTGGTGGCGGACACGAATCACGTGGTTCCAAGCCACTAAGTAGAGAATTTCCGAAAATTAGACTTCACAGAGATCCTCTTGAAATTTCTTGGACGTTCTTTTAATATTGAGCGGCAATCAATGGACATTGCAAAAATTCTTGTTGATTTCCGTACCAATCCTCACCTTCCGTAAGATTCGGGGTGCAGCTTGGACACCAGAAAAACGCTATTTGAACAGTTCCTCATCGGTAGATACCATTACATAGGTAGCTCCGTTTAGTTGATAACCGTGAAAACACAGGTTGCCATGCCGGACCTACGAACTTAGTAAGGCACCCAACAAAACGAGTAAACAAGTCTTGCTGTGGACTCAGCCTAAGCGGACAATTTTGCAATGTATCCAGTGGCGAAGAGTCTTCTGAGTCCTTGTCAAATGGGCGAAGCTGACCGCGTGTTGACTCAGTTTCCAAACAGCGCCATTTCGAATTTATCTGGTCCTGAGCGAAATCCGAAATAACTGCCCAATGCACAAGCCAACAGAAATACTTTTAGGATTTCACACCAGACGAATTTTCCTACCTAGGTCTTGGATGATATTTCACCATATTTCTGTTAACGTGCATCTACTAGTTAGCGATTACGAGCAAACTGGTAACCTACAAAGTTCCGGTTTCCATAGTATATCGCCTAGTTGAGGAAGGTATTCGCCTGGTTTGGAAAATCTCCAGGTGCTAAAAACTTATAGTTTAAGAAACCTGACGTTAGAATGCCACCTCAGCAAGCCTTAGAACTGCCATTCGGCTGTTGCTCATGCTTGCTGACTGGTTTTAGATACAAAGATGAGAATTTTCGCATGTTGGGATCTTCCAATCGCATTCAGCATCTTTCGTTAAGAGCATTTATCAGCCGGTGACGATAATTCCAGAACCCAAAATGCCCGACTCTTGAGTACTTTAACCAGAGGTGCCAGTCGGTTTTTGAAGCCTTTGGAATACGATTTTTGTCTCTTACAAAGTCTAAAATTTTCCGCCTAAGAGTACACAAGTTTGTTCTATCCTGGTTGAGAGTTGCAAGCTGGAAGTCTTTCACGGTCAGAATTGATATCTGTCAGCCGTGTGCTCTTACATTTTAAGGTCCGAAGGGATAGTGGTAGAATCGTACGGATATCTCACGACTGGTTCTGAATCAAAACTGACGAAATTTCCGGCTCTGATGATGTCATTTTAGAGTCGGATTTGCCGGTCACCATTGACCAACTACCAAAACGCCCATGCATGCGT